GGGTTAGTGAGAAATCTGATGCCAGGGAAATTCTCATGAATCCACAAACATGATCCCAGCTAAGGCTCCTAGCAATAGTAGAGAAGACGCCCAAACAGGCATGTCCCTGTAATCATATTGGTGACTTCTCTGTCATCACAGAACCTTCATCCAGTCACTGATAGAAGCAGATCTACAGCCAATCACTGGGCCAAGCTCTGGTAGTCAAGTCAAAGAGAGGGAGGAGAGATTATATGAACAAGGGGCGGGATCAAGATCATGAAGGGGGAAACCAATGGAGATAGCTGACAGAGCTGGGAGCTCATTGACACTAGACTGACAGCTGGGAAGACTGCATTGACTGAACTAGGCCCTCTGCATTTGGATGACAGCTCTGTGGCTTGGTCTGTTTCTGAGACCCCCAGAAGTGGGACTAGGATCTATCCCTGGTGCATGAGCTAAATTTTTGAGCCCATTACCCATGGTGGGATGCCTTGCTCAGCCTTGATACAGGGAGGAGGAGCTTGGTCCTGCCTCAACTTGATGTGCTAGGCTTTGTTGACTCCCCATGGGAGGCCTTACCGTTTCTGAGGGGTAGAAGGGGGGTTGAGTGGAGGAAAGGTGTGGGTGAATGGGAGGAGGGGAGAGAGGGGGAACTGTGGTTGGTATGTAAAATGACTAAAAGTTTAAAATAAAAAAAAGCAAACAAAAGCAAAGCAGCAACAACAGAAAAAGAAATCTGATTCCTGTGAAAACGTGAGGATACTTTTTTGGTCTGTATCGCACATTTTCCTGTTATCACAGTAGTAACTCAGTAGCCAAGGCCATATCCGAGTGGCTTTGTCACTTAGTCATTTCAAGCGATATTAACCTTCATCAAACTGTTGAACTGCATGAGATGACAGCAGCTGTGGTCACCTGCACAATCCCACTCCAGATCAATCCAGTCAGCACTCCAGCATGCAAGTAGGAAAGCATTATGAGTCTCTACTGTTAGCTGTGAAGCTAGTGACTACTGAAGGCTGCTGGGCAAGAAGAGTCCATTTTCTTCCAGTGTGGCCCAGAGTAGGTCCACCAACCTCCAGTGCATAGATCCTTCTATCTCAGTCCATGAGATGACACTGCCCACATTTAGGTTGCCTTCCTACCTCCACTATGACTGTATGGACAACACAAATTAGAGTCCATGGGTTGTTGAAAGAAAAGAAAGAAAAGACAATACAAAATGAAGCGGAGGTAGAGCCTTGGGGATGGATCTTAGAGGAGCTGAGGTGAATGTTATTAAGATGCATCGGATCAATGTATGAAATTCTCCATGAGTTAGTAAAATATTGAATTCTAAAAAGTATTTGGGTTGGTCTTTGTAGGTAGGTTAATGGAAACCCACAAACTTTATCCAAGGATCAAGCAATCTAATTAAATGTTAGCAGTAAAAATAACCCCATATTTTTGGCAAAAAATAAAATGGTAAATGGTAGGACAGCGCAAAAAACAAGGGAGAGAAACACCCACTGAACAAACGGGACTTTGTTTCTTATTAATTACTAGATTAAGGAAATGACATTTACTGGAGGAAATAAGAGATCATTTAACAGAATTGCCAAAGGTCTTTTGAGCCTCCAGAGAAATGAAGAAATGAGCTAAATGATCAAAACTAATGTTGGGAACCAGGACTGTAATACTTGCTAATATTTTTGCTAATTTGACAAAGCATATGAGTTTCTAAACAAGATAATGAGAGAAAAGAAAGAACTGTCATGGGGAAAAATACTATGTTCCTACCATTTACATTTTAATCACCTAAGGGTATCTCCCTAAGGTGATCAAATTGTCTTAATGAGAACTTTGTTGGAATAGATATCACTAGGTACATGGGAGGAGACAATATTAATTTATCCCTTAAATTTAGATACCTGAATAGAATACTTTACATTTCGTGAGATTATACTATTACAGCTTGCATAATTACTACTTAAAATGAAGTGGATAGATGCCACCTTTTCAACATTGTAACACATTTAATAAATAGATGTGCAATGATGGTGATGGTGATTCTTGGTTGTCAGTTCTATGGGATTTGGAACACCATGGAAGCAAGTGTCTGTAAGGGATAATTTATATCAGGCTAGTGGAGGCAGGAAAGCAACTTAAATGTGGGCGGTATTATCCCATGCGCTGAGATACTAGACTTAGCAGAAAGGAGAAAATGAGCTAAGAACCAGTGTTCATCACTCTGCCTCATGACTAAGAGTGAGACAAGTGACTAATACTAAATCATCCTGTTTCTGAAATGCACATCTAGCACAATCGTATTGCTGGGAAGCAACAACAGTTTAAAAGGTTTATCTGCACCCTAAGTCAACCAGTAAGCCTGAGGCAATATTTGTTTCAAACTGTAAGCCACAGGCATTTCATCTCTTGGTGAGTCTCCTCCCTCAATGAGGAAGCTGGGTCCCAGTCTGCTGAGGTCTTTTTATGCCATAATTAAATTCAAAGACACTGCTCCTTGAAGAAACTTGAAGGCAATACTTCTTGGGAAAAAAGAAAGAGTTGTGAGTGTTCAGCTTCTGTTTCTGGGAGAACTATGGCCCCCATTGCAGGGTCAGCAACTGTGGCTCACAGGCTAACTCTGGTCTGCTGTGTGTTTTTAAACATTGATTTGGATCACATCACATCCCCTTCTTAAGGCTGCCCTGTTTAGACTGTTTGCACACTGAGTTGAATAGAGGCTAGTGACCGTGTGACCTGCCAAATCTAAAGTGTTTCCTCCTCAGCCCTTACAGAAAAAAGTTGGTAACCCTGCTGTATTGCAAAGTTACCCTAAATATTCCCATATGAAAGGAGTTAAAGGGATTATAAAAGATGGGATTAGTCAAAGGTCAAATGGTTAGGGAAACATTTGTGTAAACAAATGTAATTTTTTCCTTATTGCAAGATTTTTCAGAATGATTACTGTACTAAAGCACATCTTGACCCCCTGGCAGGAAATCGCTTGATCATCTGTCTTCTTTTTTTTTTTTTTCTTTTAGGGTGGGATACGCATGTGATTCGTGACCTAAGAAAAGTTCAAAAATATTTGTCGTTCATGATTTTCTGTTTCTAAGTTCACTTCTATCACTGGTTAATACTGTCAATTTCTCTTGTAGACATTCCATGTCGTTTAAGTTAATCTATTGTGCACTCTTTGCTCACTTTTTCAACAAAATCCTAATATGGATTATTTTGATGCCTGACCTCATTTTCTAAAGGAATATTTTTTCCTTAGTTTTTCAATCTTTTGAACCAATTTAAACTTAACCCAAGCAAAGTATAGTCTGAGTGATTGTGCAACTTCATGGTTTCTTAGACACCAAAGTTAGAAATTATTTGAAAGTCAATTGTATAAATGAACTAACTGCCCTGGGAATATACTGAACCTGACTGGTTCAGTCAGTAAAGAGTCACTGTGCAAACATGAGGACCTAGATTTGGACCCCTATCCTCCAGGTGAAAATCTGCATATGGTGTCATGTTTATACAACTGCAGTGATGTATTATTTATGATTTATTGAAGTTTGATTGAGAATTCAGTAAGCAAAGTCAGCCACAAGCTATAGAAGCCAGGCACACACCTTTAATTCCAGGAGCCAGAAGCTAGGAGGTGGTGGTACACACCTTTAATCCTAGGACTCAAGATTAAGAGATAGCGGGATCTCTGTGAGTTCAAGGCCACTTTGATCTACACAAGATTGATCCATTCCTAAAGAGAGTCAACTCACACAAAGATAATCTCAGTACCTTCTATCACACACATTTAATCCCAACACTAGAGGGGTATAATAGAGCAGGGTCTGCAGAGGTCAGTATAGAGGTATCTATTCCCCAGCCACATTGAGGATAGGAAGACATTGAAGTCTCAGGATTCTCCACCCACACTGAGGAGAGGTTACAGTGTGAGGTTTGGTGAAGCTAGAATCACCTTTCATTCTGAGGTAGAGTAAGAGCAAGTGGCCGGCTGCTTTGCTTCCCTGATCTTCAGGTTGAACCCCAACATCAGTCTCTGGGTCTTTTATTTTTCATGTTACACACAACCATGGTGCTAGAGAGGTAAGACCAGATCTTTGGGGTTTGCTGGCCAGAAAGTCTCGTCAAATCACTGGGTTCCAGGTTCAGTGAGAGCTTTGTGTCAAAGAGTAATGTGGAGGGAGGTCCAGGAAGACATTCACTATCGACTGGTTGTCTCCACATGACATGTAGTCTTGTACTTACACATCTCCTGGAATATGCTCAACATCCCACTGTCCCACACAAATTAAATGTATCCCTAGCATTTTGTCACAGAAGGCAATGCTTGCCATCAAATTATCTCCCCTCAAGTGGGAGAACACTGTCTGTAAAATAGAAAAGTCATGTAAGCAATATATTGTACGTGTGGGTATGAATCCCAATCCCCCTTAAGTGTAAGAGTTAACTCAGTCTGAGAAGCAGTAACTTGCTCCAGCCCTCTAAGCTGGTGAGGATTTGGTCTTCATAAGAACTGAAATTCTAACGCAAGCTGAGGACTGGCATGGGGTCTTTACAAGTACAGGGAATGAGCCTAAGACAGAGAATCAGGTAGGAGGACCTTCGGACACATCAGCATTCACAAAGGGAGGAAACGAGAAGCAGAGGAGAACTGAAGAACTGTGGTCCTATGGGTTATGTGTCATATAATCAAACAGAGAGGGTGCGAAGAAAGCCTATCGTGACCAAATGCCGAAGAAGGGTGGCACCAGATAAATGACCTGAACAGGGCGAGGAGTTTGGTCTAGGGTATTTGAAACTCAGACCTTCCTAAATGCTGTGGCCCCTCCATTCTTGACAGTGTCTTTCTCTTTCCTAACTTTCTCTATGTTTCTGTTTCTGCTTATGTATATCCCTGTCCCAAAGGACTTGAAAGATTCAGAAGTCAACTCTCTTAGTTAGGGTTTCTTTTGTTGTGAAGAGACACCATGAACACAGCAACCCTTATAAAGGACAACATTTAATTGGGGCTTACTTACAGTTTCATAGGTTCAGTCCATTATCATCATGGAGAGGAGGAGCATGGCAGCATGCAGGCAGACATGGTGCTGGCTGCATCTTGATCAGAAAGCAACAGGGCGTAGACTGAGTGTCACACTCAGTGACAATTGAGCAAAAGAGATCTCCAAGCTCACTCCACAGTGACACATTTCCTCCAACAAGGCCACAGCTACTTCAACAAGGCCACACCTCCCCCTGTGAGATTATGGGGGCTAACTATGTTCAAACTACCACAGTGTCTATAACAAGATTCCTGTAGTAGGATGACCAAGAAGAGATAAAGGAGAGTACTGTATTGATTATATAGATAATGCCATCCAATAGACCTGGTCCTAAAGTTGCCAAACTCTTGCCAGTGACAATGTACATAACCAGTAGCCAAATTTGGGCCATTTCTATATGAGAACATGTAAAGATGTTGGGGGTGTATTTTAGTGGAACTGACCTACAGTCAGGAGCTGTTATTGCACATAAACATAGAACTGTGACTCACAACAGGAAGTTGAAAGGCATCTGCGTTTGCGGGAAGCTATGTTCTCTTTTTGTGGTGGCTTCCCACCCCTTCCTTCTTATGAGATGCGTTGCTTTCCTATAGCTCTTGCAAAAGCATTGTCGCAATTTTAGTGTCATAAGACAATATGATTTTATAGTTCTGATATCTGGATGTTTGCACTGTATTTCATTCTGCGAAGACCAATGTTTCTTCTTTGTTATGTTCTTTTTGAGGCTTTAAGGGGGAGGAAAGCAGTTCCATTTTTCTGTTATTTGTTTGTTTTTCATTTTCTGATTTTTGTTTTTCCCAAACTCTCAAGGTGTGTTGCTTTCCTTGACTTCTGACTCCTTCCTTTATCTTCAAGCCAGCAGTGTAGTATTTTCAAATCTCTATATGACTCTGTTATTTTCATCTCATTTTCTTACTCAGCCCATGAACTACCTAGCATGTAAGCCAGAATGTTCCCACACATGCTTCCTATCACACCAAACTAAATGTGTCTTCCTCAATGGGCTCCTGAGGTGTGACTTTTCCAGGGGAACCGTGAATGTCTGTTACTCTAAACAAGGTGTAGTCAGTGGGCCAAATAAACCAGTGTAAATGTGAGAGCTGATGAGTTTATTGGGCTGTTACCTTACAGCAGTAGAGCACGGGTGAGAGTCTGCATAAGGGAAGCACAGGAATGTCATCTCCAAAAAGTTCCACTCAGCATGGATGAAGACGTTCCTGATAATGCATCAATGGGCATAGATTTTAACCAATCTCCTACATACTCAGTAAGCTTCCAAGAGTGCAAGCACCTGAGAGGTGAGAAGACATGGTGGGTAGAATTAAAGGTAGGGAACTGGAAAGCATTTCTCCCCTGCCTTCCTTACATTATGGGTTGTTAACAGCTCTGTTCTATCACCATAGAACCATAGTCCGTTGTTTTCTTTGTTGGCATGACTATAGAGTCAAACATCTCACGGGTCACCACTGCAGTCTCTGCTCCACGATGGCTAATGGTCGTGTGAGGCTTGAAGGAGGTAGCTCACTATAGCAGCTCCTGTTATAAAGCCCCGTGTGTGCTCTGACAGTCGCACAGCTCCTCTGCTGTTCATGTCCTTTCCCATCTGATTCTCACTGTATGCTGCTTCATACAGCGGTGATCTAATCATAGAATGCTTCATGTTGAAACATAAGGATGAATGTGATATCTCACCAACATGTCTGTGTAAGATAATATAGCACTTAGTGAGTACAGTGAAGTTTTGTAACAGTGAATGATATTATTTCTCTACAAGTAGTGCTTAGCACAAATAAAGTGCTTAATGATTGCTAATTTGCCAGGCTCTTTCATGGAGAAAACTCATTTTGCTTGAGAGCACCGAGAAGGGTTGTGTCTCTCTGTTTTAGCAGTCTGTAGACTCTCAGGGCATCTAATATAAAATCCTTGTAGAAGTCAATCAAAACCCAAGGTCAAGCTCTCAAAGCACAAAATAGACATATGCACTTGTTTATCACCTAATTCTAGATCCTTCCTCACCTTTGACATACTAGTCTAAACGTTGATAATTTAATTAGCTTGGTGTTACTGGATCATTTACTTGAGAAATAAAAGTTTTAAGTCGATAATTAAGGTAATAACACTCTATTAGAAAGCATGGTTTGATTTAATATTTGAATTAATATAAATGTAACAACTGATGAGTATCATCAATGTACTCTGTAAATTATTGGTTAGCATGAGTGGGTACATGTGTATGCATGAGTGTGTGACAGCCAGAGGCTGATGTCAGCTGTCACATAGTGTCACTCTCAGTCTTTGTTTCCTAAGCCAGGGTCCCTTGCTGAACATCGAGTTGGCCTATTCATCCACACTATCTTGATAGCTTGCCTAGGGGGTGCCCTGTTTATTCCTCTTTCAGCTCTGTGATTACAAGCATGCCACCCCCTCTTCAGCTTTTATGTGCTTAGTTGGGATCTGAATTCCCATCCTCAGTCTCTCTGGGCAAATGCCTTAACCACTGGGCAATTTCTCCAGCCTTAGATTTTGCTTTTCAAGGACTCAAGATAAATCTTCCTATGCACATTTAGTTTTATACTTAACTGTACATTATGTCTAGATTATTAACTATTAATTTTTATTTTACAGTTACAAGATAAGAAGTTTTAAAAAGCAAAATCTATTTGTAAGAAAGCAAATCAATATCACACACACATGGAGCATGTACACACATGTTGACAGATATGCATACATGCAAACATTCACACACACACATGCGTGCACACATGTGCGTGCACGCGCGCTACTAACTGTCAAGTTCACTAATTCTGTCAAAGTTCTGTGGCCCTAATCTCACTCATTTACCTGCCATTGAAAATAGCATCAATGTATATAGTTAAGAGTACTTTTTGTGGCCACAGCACTTAATACATAACCTTAAATTCAGAGTTCTAGAGGCATAATTCTTTTATCAACAGACTCTGTTACTCACTTGTCAGTTTCTCAGAACTATTCATTTGTTCCATGCATACACTTCTTCTCTGTCTCTCTTCTTAATATTTAGATCAGTATCCAATAAAATTAAACAAGAAAATATAAACTATGAATAATGATGACGTTAATGAGAGTATTATTAACCACCTTTGCTCTTCTCATAGGATATTGCATTTCAGTTAAGAAATTTGAGGAACATTACGGGAACCCACCTTCTCATCTTCATTTATTTGCTTCTTGTGTTGGATCTTGCACCCAGGCACGTTGCACATGCTGATCACATACTATAACACTGACCTCCATCCCAGACTGGAAGTTACACTAAAACCTTGTCTGTTTCACTTATGGACTTGACCTGAGTGCAGCTATAATGAAGGAGGTGGAGAAATTTATAACCCTCTGTTTTCCTTGTAATGACTGTACCGATACCAGTAAGTGTTGACCTGAATTGATAAGTAGAAAAGCCTCTTCTTTAATTCTAGTCGTTGAAAGCAACTCTGTGTGTACTTGGAATTATGTTTAAAAAACTTTCTTCAGAGCAGTTCATTGAATAAAGTATGGTCATCTCCACCTCTTTGGAACAAATAGACACATGTAAATTATACTTAATGTCGTGATGATGCTTGACACTTTCAGTCATACACAATTTCCCACTTACAAGTATCTTGAGTAACTACTGCTCCATTTCCTCTCCCTAAGAGAAATTCAGTGGAATTTGGCTGTTTCCCACAACTTTCCTGAGTTTAATGAGTTAGAGCTGAATCAAAGATGCTGTCACCTTCAATACATAACAGATTTCTGTAGGACCACCATGGGTTTTCCATTGTCTGTATCTTTCAGTAAGATGACAAGAAGCCTGTGAATCCTTACACAGCCTCTTCTAGTAAGAAGACCCCAGACTGGCAAGTGCATCAGTAGCCTTTGCATTCCTCTTATGACACAGAACTTACTATGTACCTATCTGTGAGGATGTCTGCCCAGTTTAATCCTACCATATTGTTAATAAAGGAATGTATGTAGCAGAAGATTGCTGTCATTTTTTAAAATCTTTGTTTTTATTTTAAAACAATCCTTTCTCATGTTACATACCACTTCCTCTCCTGCTCCTACTCGCGCCCCTCTTCCCTCCTCCCCGCTGCATCCATTCCTCAGAAAGCTTAAGACTTCCCATGGGGAGTCAATGGAAGTCTGGCACATCTCTTTGAGGCAGGACTAATTGCCTCCTTCTTATATCTAGACTGATCAGAGTACTCCTCCAAAGAGAATGGGCTCCAAAAAAGCATGTTCAAGCATTAGGGATAAATCCTGGTCTCATTGCTAATGCTCCATAGCCTGCCCAAGCCACACAACTATTGCCCACATATGGAGGGCATCGTTTGGTTCTATGCAGGTTCCCCTATTGTCAGTCTAGAGTCAGTGAGCTCCCACTAGCTCAGGTCAGCTGTTTCTGTGGGTATCCCCAAAATGGTCTTGACTCCTTTGCTCAAATTATCATTCCTTCCTCTCTGAACTCTGGGAGCTGGGGTAGTGCTTAGCTGTGGATCTTTGCATCTGCTTCCATGACAATTCAGGTAGTCATCAATCTGATTACAGGAGAAGTTCAGGTATCATCTCCACTAATGCTTAGTCTTAGCTGGGGTCATCCTTGTAAATTCCTTGGAATTTCCTTAGTGCCAGGTTTCTCTCTAGTGCCATAATGACTCCTTCAATCAAGACATCTCTGCCATTTTAAATATAATATTTTTATTAATTCTTTGAGAATTTCATGTAGCCAGCATATGTTAACTATTACTATGTCCTCAGCTGGGCATGGAAGCTTGGGTGCCCCACCCTCTCCATGCTCAAATGTTGAGTATATTGGTCTTGTGTAGGCAACCAGAGTTACTGTAAGTTCATGCATACAATGGCACTATCACATCCAGAAGTCATTGTTTCATTCTGACCTTCCCAACGTTTTGCTCCTAAAACCTCTCTACTCTTTTTCTGCAGTGGTCTCCAAACTTCAGGGCAATGGTCTATGACCAAAATGTTTCTTTCATGGCTGAGTAACAGACATTCCTATAACATTTGTGTCACTATTGTAGTCATGGACATGACGTACATGGTTGTGATGCAGCTCATAGCATCCAAAGGTAGATAAC